TAGAAATAGTAGAGGATTTTTCTTTAGGCTTAGAACAGAAAAAGAAGATAGATATTGTTTATTTCGATATTAGCAAAGCTTTTGATTCATTACCACATGAAAGACTTTTCAAGAAATTAGAAATATTAGGAATTAGGGAATCACTATTAGAATTGATTAAACAAATGCTCACTAACAGGAATTATCAAGTTAAGGTTGGAAATACACTCTCTAACGCTTACACCGCAAGTAGTGGAGTAGCACAGGGTTCCATTCTTAGTCCCCTTTTATTCAACCTATATTTTTCAGATATAAATAAACTCTGTTTCACAGAAAATGTCAAAATTAAACTTTACGCAGATGATATTAAGGCATACCAAATTTATACTAAGAAAGACAATTTAAAATTGCAGTCATTTATTAATAAGTTTCAAGAATATTGTATCGCTAATGGTCTTAAATTAGCTATTAAAAAATGTCAGACACTTTATCTAGGTAACGGGAACGATAAAAATGAGTATTTTATTGATGGAATATCCATAGATTCTAAAAATGAAGTAGTTAGAGATTAGTGATGTTCGGGAGAAGAAAAAACTCGGGAATCGGGAAACGGGAGTCGGGTCGGGAAATGACCTCGGGAGTCGGGATCGGGAGTCGGGAATTTACAATAAAAAAATTTTTGGCGCCTTCGGCGCCAAAAATTCCGGTTTTTTGCATTGCAAGGGAAAATTATGAGAATTTTGGAAGGTCAAGAGGCCAGACATCTTCCTTATTAGCGCCGCAGGCGAAATTTTTGAGAATTTTTGAAGGCCAAGCTGTAAAATTTCTTCCATTTTCAACGCCGGGGGCGAAAATTTTGAGAATTGGAAAGACAAGGAGCTAGATTCATCCTTTTTCTGCGCCGCAGGCGAAAATTTTTTAAATTTGGAAGACCAAGAAGACAAATTTTTCCTCCCTCACAAAGGAGAGTGCCTGAGGTGTCGGCGGGACTTCGGGATGAAATTTGGTAAATAGATAGATCATACCCTACTTTAGTTGCGAAATTTTCATCATTTCCGCTAAATGGTACCGTGGGCCGAGTTATAAGGCCCCAAAATTTTAGGATCCACCACTGTTTTCTTTTCTACATATAAACATTTTCTTTTTATTTACTATTGTGTTCATCAGTGGTGCAGTGGTAGCGTTCTTGAATTTAATTTTTTCCCCAGGTTCGAATCCTTATTTGAGAAATTAATTTTTTAGCATAATTTTCGCTTCTCTTTTGAAAATTTTGATTTTAAAATTTTTAAAAAATTTTCTAAATTTTTTTGAAACTTTTTTAAAATTTTTTGAAAACACATTTTGAAGGACCACAAGAAATGAATAAGTCGAGGACTTTAAAAGGCAAGGAATAAATATTTTAAAAAAATTTAAAAAAGTTGCAAAAAAATTTAGAAAATTTTTTAAAAATTTTAAAAATAAATTTTCAAAAAAAAAGCGAAAATTATGTTAAAACAAATTAATTTTACCAATCAGGATTCGAACCTGGGCGAAAAAATTCAATGCGAGAACGTTACCACTGAACCACCGACGAATACATTTCTAAAGGAATAGAAAGTGTTTATATGGGGAGATCCTAAAATTTGGGGGCTTATAACGGCCCACGGTACCATTTAGCGGAAACTAAGCTGGGTATGACTATAGAAGGGTATGATCTATCTATCTACCAAATTTCATCCCGAAGTCCCGCCGACACCTGAGGTACTCTCCTTTGTCAGCGCCGCAGGCGAAAATTTTGAGAATTTTGCAAGGCTAAGAGCTCTGATATTCTTTATTTTCTGCGCTGCAAGCAAAATTTAGAAAAATTTGTAATGATTTCTTCGATTTTCTGCGCCGCAGGCGAAAATTTTTGAAAATTCATGACTAAATTAATTTTTCTACAGTTTTTTGACGTTTATAATATAGAAAAAAATAATTGTAAAATTTTAATATCAAAATAAATGTTAAAAACCATTTATTTTTGGATGGAAAAATTATTTAAATAAAATACTCCAAACCCGGATTCGAACCTAGACCAATCAAAGTAACTTAGGCACTCAACTTAACCACTCGACCACCTCTCAACAATAGTTGTCAGGGAAAAAAATTAAATATTTTATTTTCCCTTTTTTTATTTTTTCTCTTTATTTTTTCCCTTCAAAAATAAAATTTTATCAGAAAAAGCCATTCTTAGGGGTGTAAAAATTTCCCGACTTAGTCGGGAATTGATATCGGGAGTCGGGGTCGGGATCGGGAGGCCAAAAACTCGGGAAATTTCCCGAGTCGGGTGTCGGGAGTCGGGATACCCGAACATCACTATTAGAGATCTTGGTATATTATTTTCACCTAGCTTAAAGTTCTCTGAACATATTGAATTTATCGCAAACAAAGCCTCTAAGATTATGTATAATTTACTTAAAACACTTAAAACTAAAAATCCCAAAATACTTATACATATGTTTAACACTTATGTAAGACCCGGATTAGAGTTTGCGTCTCCTATTTGGAATCCATACTTAAGAAAAGATATTATCAATCTTGAAAGAATCCAAAAGAAATTCCTAGTATCCGTATTTATAAGGCTAACTTATACAAACAATCAAAAAATTAATTTTTCGGATATTCCCAAATATGGCGAGTTACTCAAAAAATTTAACGTTGAAACACTCGAATCCAGACAACTTAAAATCGATTTGATCTTATTTCACAAAATGATTTTTGGTGAAATTAAAATTAATAATAATAACATAATTCACTTTAAACAAACTAGGACTCGTGGGGAAGAATACAAATTGACTATTCCACATTGCTCATCCATGGTTAGATATAATTCCTACTTTATCAGAACATCTAGATTATATAATTCACTACCTATTGTTATTAGAAAAAATACACCTTCTAATTTTAGAAAAATTATAATAAATTTTGATCTGTTAGGCCATTTACGACAAGCTTTACCACACCTTATTACAAACCACTAGTTTACACAGATTTTATATTTACAAATAAAACATTCCATTTAATTTTAAAAATTTATATTATTTCGAATTTTTATGTTTTTATTTTGTTGCATTGTTGTGAATTGTAATTTTATTTGTGACCTTCGCGTCATTTTGACGTAAATAAATAAATAAATAAATAAATTTTCTCGCCAAGAAATTTTTACAAAAATCGAATAGGGAGAAACAAAATTAAAAAGAGAATTGAGGAAAATAAACAAGAGGAATATCCACATTCTCTAAAAAACTTGGAATATAAAAAGGATTTATTAATAATAGTATAGCGAATTTTTCGAAAACAAGTTTTCGACCTCTAAACAAAAACCGATTTATTAAATACCGTGTTTCGGGTGAGATATATTTTTAAATTTTATATAATTTATGTATTTTTATAAATTTATTTAAATGTGAGACAGGGCAGGATAATTAAGAGAAAGCAAATTAATAAACATGCTCACACGTGTATTTATATTTCTCGGCTCGCAAAAGTATCCCTATGGATCTAAAGATTCACTTAATAAAAGGATCTCATATGATTCTTTCCTGGCTAACAACCATGCCTATACCACCGGGTCTGAGCCAATGGATTAGGAAAGCCACTTATATATTTAATTATATTTTCATTAGCTATGCCGCGATCGAAAATTTCTGAGAAATCAAGAACTCAATTGGAATCTTGACAATATTTAAAAATAAAATAAGAATTCGAAATTAAAATTAAATTTTAAAACAATTTATATTTGGAGGATAAAATAAACTAAGTTGCAGTGATAATTTTAGATACAAACACAACTCTAAATTAGGGAAATTTGAGTTAAGCCTAGGCAACTTAACTGTATTAAAATTAAAAGAAAATTTATATACCGTATTTCCTAAAATAAAGCCCGATGAGGCTCTATTTTTCAATTATCTTCCAAAATAGGGCTCAATTTTAGGGTGAGGTTCTAATTTAGCATGGGGCTTTATTTTAGGAAATACGTTATATTTCATTCAATATTCTATCCGAATTACAACAAACAAAATTGTCAGTAATTTTAGTGTCCGCACATAAATATTTGCATAGAAGTATGTACGGTTATTGACTGGTATGGCCATCATATCCGTCCTTATCTGCGGATATCTTTGATTAAATTTTTATATTTTTTATAAATTTTATTGAATTAGAAAGTTGAATTTTACAGAGAAATTCAAGTAAATTTTGGATTCATACAAAAAATTATTATCAAGTACTATAATATAAAACCAAAAATTAATCAAAAATACTCAAAAATCAAAATTTTGATTTTTTTTAATATTTTTCGGCTTTAAAATACTTTTACAAATAAAATAAAAAATCACAAAAATTAAAAATACTCGCTTTGATCTACACAAAAACATAAAAAAAGTTGGGAATTTTTATAAGAAAAAGCCTTGGAAAAATGTTTTAGAGATCAAATATGAAAAAAAAACAAAAAAATATCAATAAATTTAAAAAAAGGAAGGAAATTAGGTAGAAAATTGAGAGTTAAAACTTTTAAAATTTCTAAGTATTCCCTAGTATCCATAGCCCGTCTTTAGTATTTAATAGGGAATTTTAAATAATTTTTCTTTAAAAAACTAGAGTGGGACCAGAAGTAGGTCAGAAAAGTAAGAGGTGTCGGAAATCGGAAGAGCTGCAAATCGGAAGTCGGAACTCCGACCCACCTTTGATTGGGATTGAATATGCTTTTGGAAATTCTCTCAGAAAATCTACAGCAAACATGTCAAGAATAGGATTGGGAGTAGAAATATGTAAGTCTCGATATCGGGTGAGATCCCATAATTCGCAAACCTAGACGAGAGGTGACTTAAATTTTCTTACTAATATATAGGAGGAAATTAGGCCAGGCCTACTGACCTAATAATATGAATTAAAGTTATCTAATATTCCAATTTGTTCTCAATTTCCCCTTTTAATATTTAAAAAAAGGAACAAAAAATTAAATATCTTAAAACTGTTCAATCAAAATTCTCTCTTTTTCACTTTTATTGACAACCACAATCTTTGGCCACCATATTTGGTATTTGACGGATTAATACATTATTGTTTTCTTGCACAAAAAGAATCTTAAATGAGAAGTTTTTTTATTTTTAAAAATTTTTTGAAAACCCCCTAACCCTCACAAATTTTTCAAAAAAAATTTTTCCGAAAAAATCTTAAGCCTCACTAAAAAAATTTTTTTTAATTCTTAAAAATATTTTTTCCAAAACTCTTACAGTAATTCCGTTATATTCTTTCGGGTGACAACATTGAAAATGATCTATTTTGGCAGCTGCAGCAGCTTGAAATCGTCCCATAGATGGACTATTGGCCTTAAAATCATATAAAATTATTTAATAAATTAAAAAATATATTAACCATTCTGGCACATTCTCCGCTACAAACATAAGCATTATCTAAAAATATTTTTTTTTTGAAATTTAATTTTTTTCGGATTATTTTGTACGTAATTGGAGAGGACTTTAGGATATTTAAGGGAGATATAGGTATCTTTTTTAAGAATGAAGAGAAATCTAACTGGTTACAACTATTTAAAAGGGTTATTAGGCGGGGGTTTAAAATCTATTAATAAAAGAGAAGCTAGACCTCGGTAAAGTAATTAGCTTTACTGTTCATTATTAATTGAAGTACCTAGAGGAGATCGGGGAATCGATGCCTGTTTGGAGATGAACTTTTATCTCTCTTTTACTTTTAGATCCAAAATTCCCTTATAACCGGTGTATTATTTTATAAAAATAATTTCAACAAAAACGAACATCTTTTAGGTGCAATAACAAATCCCCATCCAATTTTCTCAAAATCTATAACCAAATCGTATAAACAACATTTTGTGTTGTTAGAGCCAGGTTTGCAAGTATTTGCATTTCGACGGGAACGTCCACTTTTTAGATTAGTTAATTCCAATTCAAAGAACATTCGAGAGGGGGAGGAATAAGCAGAATATTTTTGATTCTAGAAAATTTTTTTAGTTCAAAAGTTTTTTTGAATTAACTAATTTTTAATAAAGCCTAGCAGCCTTAACATCTCCGATAGGGACATACTTTCCAAGAAATTGTTATTTCAAAAGTTTTGGGAAGAAGAAGGTTTTTTAATTTCAAATAACAATGAAAAGGTGGGAAAGGTCTAAAAACCTCTTTACGAGATATCCTGCCAAATTCCCTAAAATCGGGAATTCCTATTCGACTTTTAGTGTTGGAATTCCTGATCCACGAATGTAAAAATATTCCCTCTTCTTGAGGAAACTATTTCACCTTCCTATTCTTTAATAGGTAAATGGGGAATTTAGTTTTTTTACAGGGAATTAGTTTCCTCAGGAAGAGGGAATATTTTACATTCGTGAATCAGGAATTCCAACTCCAAAAACGGAATCTTTAAATCTTCAACTTCGTCATCGACAACAAAATCGAAAATTTATTTTCAATGTTAACAAGGTCTCTAAATCGTTGATATATATCAGATTTTTATGATATCTCGACTACAGTACCCAATATTATTTTCCCCCTCAATTCCCCTTTCCCTTTCTCACCTCATCTTCATTTTCCTCATTATTAGGCAAAAGTGGATATTGAACTAAATTTTCTCCTTCATAAATAGCCTCAACATAAAGTGCTATAGAACTCGGAATATTTTCGTTATCAAAATCTGAATAAAATTTTTGTTGTTCAAATTGAGGGCCATTTTCTATCCATTCCTGAACTGGCAAAACATCCAACATTAATTCTACTTGTTCAAATTCTGTTGCCTCTCCAAAATCGAGTTCCAAATGTTTACTGATAAGTTTTGGACCGAGCTAATGAAGACAAAAAATTTTTGGAATTTTTTTCAGAATTTTTGGTTACCGTTCCATTAGGAAATCGTTGATATATGTTAAGTCTTGTAGTTATTTGTCCATATTCGAATTGTTCTGGTCGTCGAAGGAAAATATTTAGACGTGCTGATGTGACAAACTTTTTACGTAAATCTGCCCCGAATCTGAACACGGCTGCTTGGAGATTCTTTAATTATTTATTTTATTTTCTACGTAATTTTTATTCGAATTTTCATAGATGTACAAAATTGAATCACGATCCCAAAAATTAAAACCTTGAAGAGTTCTTCCTTTCTCTGATTAAAAGGGTTCTCGACTCTTGGAAAACCTTCGGATATCGAAAAACGAAAAGAAAAATCCGCGGATTTGTTAAGTTCCGAATTGGTAACCCCAATAAATAACTAGAGCTCGCATTGGGAGGGTTGTATGAGAATCGAGATCTATGTCTCAAAGATGCGATCTCGATAAACGAGACGTTTGTCTCTATGAATACCTTGAAATATGTCTTGTCTTTCTAGATACATACTTATCATGTAAGAGTAATATCTAATCTATTTACTGGCCAGACAGAACCTGCTCCCCCCCCCCCATTTATTATCAAGGCCAAAGAACCCAAAAAATTCTATAATTACCTGATCAAACCATTCAGGCGCCCCCTCTGCCAAAACATAACTTGTTTGTAAAGGCTGTTCTCGTTCTGTCTCGTAAAGTGCCGGAAAGTAATCAACACCATCTTCAAAAACTCCGTCTTCGTCCGAATTTCGTCTGCGCCACTGCTGGATGGACTTTAAATAATTTTAACGAAAAATTAATTTTTTCTCCTAAATCTCTAGAAATTTTTTTGAAAAAATTTTTTTTGGAAAATCAATAAGCTAAATTAAATTTTTAATTAAATTTTTTATTTCATTTTAGCCAAACAGGATTATCATCATAAAATTGTTTGCTCTTATGTATGTGAGAAGTTTAATTTTTTTAAACAGATAGAACGGTCAGGAATTGTCAGTATTGGAAAATCTTCGGATATATCCGGAACCGAAGAACTTAAGCGAATAATTATTGTCGTGTCTTAAACACAAAAAATTAGTATAAGTATTATGTATGGTTGTCGAAACAGACTAAGAAAATTTTTGTTTTTTCGGTTTGTTCCTAAAACGCCAACCCTAATTTGGAAGACAAGATAAAAAGAAGGAAATATTTACAGGAATCGGACCTGTAGCCACGCTGAGAGTGCTCGCTTTGCCTTGCTTATACCTTTGAAAGTGATCTATCATCGGTACACCCTCCTGAAACAATCTACTTATACATAGATTGATTAACTCTCACTTAGGCACTTTATATCAGTATTTGTTTTGAATAATACAGGAAATGAGCCAAGAAAAATTTTCCAAGGAGTACCAAAATATTATTAGACAAAATTTTATTTTAATTTTAAATTTTAAAAACTTAAAAGTAACAATTCCTTAACAATTTTTTGTAATTTTTAACCTACTTTACGCACTCGGCGATGTTCTTGGTTATGTTCTCGACGGCTTTGTTCAATTAATGCTTGTATTCGTTGATTGTGTGGGGCAATGAATTTTAAGGAATTGTAGTCGACTGTTACATTGGGTTTGGCAGGCAATTCCAATTTTTTTAGTAAATCTTTTAGAATCTGGAAAAGGTTTTTTTCTTAATTTTTTACGTCAAAATGAAAAATATCTTAAGGGTATTGGTTAATTATTCCTCCAAACAACGATAACAAGGTTTGGTCTTGGGTGTATAAATATAAGAGATAAAGCTGTACTATAGTTGAAATGGATCCGCTTCCGCCATCCGCAGAATTCCGCTTTTTTGGGTCCGCCGCTTCCGTCTTCCGCTTTTTAAAATTGAAAATTTTCCATCCCTGAGGTACATATAGAGAAATCTCATACCAAATTCTTATACATACACTGTGGTGCAAAGTTTTGCACACTTTATGATATTTTTTCAATTTCCGATATGATTAATATTTTTTAATTAATCAAACTTTTTAATTAAATTTTAAAAAATCTTTATTTTTCACAAATTTCCCTTTTTAAAATCTTTTTAAAAATGAATAATTAATATTTACCTGTTCTTGACGTAACCTTTTGTACTCTTCAAAGGCTTTTTGTTCACAAACAGAGCATGCAGAAGATAAACAAACACTACATGCCTATAAAAAAAGATTTTAAAATAAAAGTTTATTTGTGTTACTATAATAGGGCAAAATAATTGCAGTTCTTTATAAACTTTAAAATAAACTTTGAGTTTTAAAGAAATTTGATTCTATATTTGCAACATATATAATTTTACATTTTACTTTGTACAAATATTATTTATTTGTCTTTAGTTTATTTTCTTTAAAGGACTACGCAATAATGATAGATCTTTACTATGTTTGTTTATAGTGATTTGTGATTCGCTCAATGTCTTGAACTAAAGCTTTTGCAACTTCAGTAGTCATGTACACGTTTTTTAAATTTTAACGTAATTTAAACTAGTTTTCTAAGGTGACGATCAATTATATTTCGCAATTCTGTGGCCGGAAGTTAGAAAAGGATAGAAAAATGACGACTTTATAAAAAATACCTACATGTATATTAAACTATTATTTTGCTATTTAATTTTATACTTTGGCAGGTATTACCATTAAATAAGAAATTAAGGTTACAATACATTGTATTTGTCATTGAATACGAAATGAGTGAATGACAAAGATATGGTGGGAAAATATCAAAAATGTATACCTAAATACTTTATATGTATGTAATTTCCTATTTTTAGTATAATGTTTTATTTTGATATTTTTGGATATAAATATTGGAATGTTAGTAGATTTTGAAATTAATGGTAATTGTTATAGGAATATCATAAGATTTTTTGATTCAAGATCTAGATAATTTCTAAGATACTATATATTTTTGGTACTAATAAGGTTCAAAAGTCTTCGAAAAGGGTTTTCTTCCCTTCCGTTCTTTTTTAATTTTATCTATTTTTCAGTACCAAGTCCTAACTTCAAGATAATAGTCTCGTTATATTCTATAGCAATCCTCGTGACTTTTCCCTTCCTAAAATTAAACAGTCGCGCGAGACTTTAATTTCCTTTAAATTTTCTGCAAAATTTTACACATTCCATCGTAACTAATCTTCCATTTTTTTTTACATTTTTGTGTCCTCCCGAGACATTGTACTATTAAAATATATAATTTTTTTTATTTTTTATTTTCTATTTTCGTTCTTTTCACTTAAGCTTTGCGCTTATTATTTTCTTTCTTTTCTGACGTAGTTTTTTTATATTTTTCCTTTTAATCCATAAAACAAATTTTTTATCCTTTTCCCTTCCGGCATTAACCTTAATTTGGCTCTGAGCTAAACAGAGAATATTTTTATTTATTCCCCTCAGGAATGCTTTCGATTATCGTAAATTGTGTGCCATTCAGCTTGTTTCCGACTAATTGCTTCCTCGATTGCTTCCGGCGCCTAAGCTTTCCCTTTCCCTCCTTTTTCTTGCTATCCATTAATTTTAAGCTTTTATTTAAATTATCAGTGCATTTTAAAGAGGAAAACAACAAATACGTAATAATTATTTTCTTTTGGGAGGGGAAGGAGAGGAAGGGAGGAGGGTCAGTGGAATAAGGGACCAATTAAGTAAAAACTTGGTATAATTCTGAAAATAATTTTAAAAATATTTTTGGAAAATAAATATGATGTTTTTAAATAGAGGAGGAAAATTAGGTATAAAATGGAAATTAAATGTAAAAAAATTGTTTTAATTGGAAAAATAAAATATAAGAGAGGCAAAATACCCCTCTAAAAAGGAATTTTTGATTTTTTAGGTTTTTTAATCGTAACCAGACCTGGTCACGGATACTGATTTTGTTATCCGTATCCGGATATTTACGGTGGATATAGACGAATACAGGCGGATATCCGCGGCATTTTGGTATTATCTGTATCCATATCCGTATACATGACCAGGTCTGATCGTAACTTTTTTTTCTAACAACTAGAATTTTTAATGAGGATATTTTTCGTTAAATAATTCTCTTTTTTTATCCAAAAATGCTAAATTTATTAGAAAAGGTTTGTTTGTTTAAAAGGTATCGAGGGGGTTTGGCGTTTTGTTTACCAGTCTGTTTGTTATATTTGGATTTTAGATTTAAGTAGAGAGCGGAACAGGACCCGGTCCTGTTTCCCTGTTTCCCGGCCCTTTTCCCCGGCTTTTTTGAAGATGCCGGGATGAAACCGGGATCGGGAATTCCCGGTTCCGGGTTTCTGCTGCTACAATTTCCCGATCCCGGTTTTTTGAAAATTCTGCTCTCTAGATTTAAGACATTAAAAAATTTTTTAAGTAAATTTTACTAAATTTCTCTAATATTTAATTAATTTTTGATATATTTCTAGACTTAATCTCTTACAAATTTAAACAAAAATATTTTTAATCCTTCCTAATTTTAACTATAATTTAAATACAATTTTTCCGCCAAAAAATAAAAAATGACAAAATATCCCAATTTAAAATTTAATTTATTAATTTAGTTCCAAATCCTCTTAAAAATAATTTTTCTATTCTTAAAATTGGTCAAACAATTATTTTTTCATTAGACAAAAAAAAATTTTTTTTGTGGACGTATTTCCTCCCTTTTTTCTAATTAACTTTTTTTATACTTATTTTTGGAAAACGGTCTTTTTATGGTTTCTTTTTTTTAAATTATATAGTTAAACGAAACATAAATATGGATATTTTTAAATTTAGTCAGAGGGGGAAAAGAAATTTAAAAAATTTATTTTGTAGACGTATAAATAAAAAAATAAAGCTAAAAATAGGTTTAAAAGTGGGGTATGCGCGCAGATGAAACCCTTATGGAGAAATTTTTTTGAATTTATTTGCCAAATCTTAAATGTTATATTTTAGTTCTTATTGGTCTTAAATGGTAAAAAATATGATAAATAAGCTGGGGAAGTTTTGTGGAAATTTTTTTGGAATTTGTTAAAAATTTTTACTAATAAATGAGTGAGAAGGATGTGACTAATTTTGAAAATAAAAAAATATTTTTAAGATATTTCTAAATATTTCTAGTGATACTTTCTAAATCTGCTTTTTTATGTTGTTAATGAACGTATCTAGCAAATTTTCAGAAATTTTTGAATTTTTTAAAAATTTTAAAAATTATATTTAAAAATTTCAGAAAAATTAAAATTATGACCCAAAATACGGAAAAATGTCAAAGTGGTAACTAACACCAAATTTTCATGAGAATTAATGAAAAAATTTTGAATATTCGAAAGAAAGAACAAAAATATATAATAAAAATAAAGTTGAGAAAATAGAAAAATAAAATTTGATTTAAACAAAAAGGAGAAAGATAAGAGGATGAAGTGTCAGATAGGGTACGGTTTCTTACCGTAACTTGGGTTACTGTCACCCAAAAAATTTAAAATTTTGTATTTTATTAAAAGACATATTAAAGAACCTTTTTACAAAATTTTAGATTTTTTGGCGTTCTGTAATTTATTTTATGAATTTTTAAAACACCAAGGTTCTCCTAAAGCCCCCTTCGCATTAATTAAATAAAAATAATTTTTTTAATTTAGAAAATAATTTTTATTATCATTTTATCCTCTTAAAAATAAAGAAATATTCTTACCAAAAAAATTAGCAAAATAAATGGCCGCAGTCTTATTAGTCGGATACCGGAAGTTTTAAACATTTTAAAAAATAAATTTAATAAATATGATGTTTGCCAAGATAGTGAATTAATAAATGTAATGGTGGTTGTGAAGGTTTTGTTGGGATTGGGAGGAGAGGAGGATGATGAAAGAATACCCAAAGGATTTGTATTAATAATTTTAATAGAGGAAGTACCAGCAAATAATGTTGATTGTTGTTGTTGCTGTCTCTTTAAAAGGAAATTTTTTAGGATTTTTTAGGATTTATTTTTTAGACGATTAGTTGGACAAATTAAAATAATCGGTATAAAATCTATATCTTTTTGAATAAATAAATTTTATTATATGGTATTTATGGAGAGAGATTTTTCTAATTTTTTGTTTCGCTGTTAAGCGCAGTTTTTCTACTCTTGTATAATTTAAATAAAAATTTTTGTTTATTTTGAGTTTGTTGGGCTAGCCAAAAAATTTGATTGATAACCCGAACTTATAGAATATAAAACGAGATCAAAATCGCTGTATTTACGGCTGTGCCGTGAAAAATTTTATTTAGTTGATGGGAGGAACAGGATTATTCTGGTATGAACCCAGAAGGATACCCAATGATGGTATACATATTTTTATTTGTATATACTCTTTTTGCAAGTGCGGACACAACACCAGGGGTCGGTCGGAATTTTTCATTTCGATTTCCGAAAATTTAGTCTGATTTCCAAGTTCAGACACCTTCGTCATTTCCGATCGACCCCCCAGCAGAACACCTTGATTATCTTGGAGATATCGCTCTTATTTTTCTCTCCCGTCCCGGTGGCTACTATTAGAGATACTCAAATACAACAATTTTTAATTTTATCAAAAGGCCCTTCCTTACTTATTCGCTAAAAAAATTTTTCTTGCAAAATAAAATCAAAACTTATGAGAGAGTAAACTACGCAATCCCTGTTTATAAATAAAATAATATTTTTTTATTCCTTTCCTTATTAGGCTAATAAATTTATTTATTTATTAAAAACTTACCATTCTTTTTACAAAAAAATCTGGAAAGAGAAAATAATCAGAAAAGTTTTTAAAATAATTAAAAGTTGTCTCAAAATGATGTTACTTAAATTTAAAAGACTGAAGAATTTGTGAATGTGTTAATGACGTTTTTTTAATAAAATGTTGCAAAGAGAGAATAATTTAAATTTATATTTAAAATAATTCCGCCTATTTTTAAATTAAGCTGAAAATGAAGGGAAAAAGAAGGAATTTTTAATTAAAAAATTGAAAAAAAAATTCAGGAAAATTTTTTTGAAATTTTAAAAAGTCAGTAAAGAACGCATCTCAATAACACGTAACAACATGTAAAGATAAAACCGACATAATAAGAAGTGATTTGACCGACAAATTACAATCAGAATCTCACTATAAGTTACACTCCTAGGGCTATATTGAAATTCTCTTAAAGGAGGGGTACCGCTTAAGCACCCCCTCCCTCCACCAAGTGGCTAAATATTAAGAAGTAATTTTTATATTAAGGTATTGGATATTATATTGTGAGGACTGTAAAATTTTTAGAGTATTCTTTTTAAAAAATTTGTGATAAAAGATTAGCAAAATTTTCAAAAAATTTTAAATAGCTTTTAAATAAAAAAGAAAATTTTATCCTGCTTTAAATAATATGTATTTTAAAATATTTCCAGCCTTGAAGATTTCAGAAAAAAAATTTTCAGGATATAAAAATTCTCGAAAAATTTTCCGATCAGAAATATACTTATATGTAAGCAAATTTTCACCCAACCCCAAAAAAAAAAAATAAAATTATTTGATCAGCCTTCCTTGTCCCCCCTTTCCCTCTTTTATTTAAATAAATCAGTGGTCATTTACCTACATAAAGCTCTTCTTTTATTTTTTGTTGTCCCTTTAACGGCTTTAAATATTTAAAAAAAAATAAATTTAGAATTTCTCACATATGCCAGAAAAAAGAGAAAATGACCTAGAGAGAAAAATAATTCTCCCTTTAAATACATATTAGCTTTTACATTTTTAATAATAATAAAAAAAATATTATTTTATTTTCCCTCCCCCCCCCCCTCCCTCCCTCCCCCTTTACTTTTTTTAACACTTGTTGCGATAGAATAAAAGAGAGAAGGCTTATTTGAGGGAATGAGAAAATAAAAATGCAAAAATAAACGTGCATCCAGCTGCTACTCATTTCCTCTCGTTATTCTTTTAATGAGATGCGCAAGTGTTTTTATGGTGTGGACATAATGAAAGTTTGGACAAAATGCCCATAAAAGGAATGTGGACAGAAAGGGACACTGAGACGGAGGAGAGGAGAAGGAGGGGATTCACTCTACCGAAGAGCCTAACTTGACAATTTTGACTAATTACCCTGGGTAATTATTATTTCATCTTCTCGCTAGAGGGGTAGTTAATCGAAGGAGAGCAACTCGTTTTGAAATTTACGCGTAAGATTAAGCCTTTGAGGAAGGATAATTATTCTTTCAGCTTCCTACTAAAGGGGTACTTAATAGAGAGATAAATATTCGAGGGAGTATAATTAACCGATAAAATAGGTAAATAGTTTATGGTGACATTTAAGATATCGACATTCTTAAGTTGGACTAATCCAAATTTTTTAAGCCTTGTGGTAAACTGGACTGAGGTAAATCGAAGTTTAATGCTTCCGGAAGCAACCCAAGCTTCAATAAAGAAGTATGTATCTTAGATAGAAAAAATTCAAAATTACCCTTATGGGCATTTTGTCAAAAAGACATTTTGTCTATTTCTAGCCGCTGGCCATCCATTTTAATCTTCATAGGGCGTTCCTTCAAAAAGGGATTCCTCTAGCTCTTTTCTAACGGCCATGTGAAATGTAAAATGGGCGGTACTTAAAAAATAGCTAAAAATTTTTAAATATCGTTTGGTGATTGCTTTAAGTTAAATGTGGAAATAAGAAAAAAACTTTTGTTATTACAAAATAATTAATTATACGTATGTATGTGTGTATGATAATCTCTTTCTTGGTAAAGTTGGTTGTTTTTAACGATGAATTATCTATAAGAGATGATTAACATGAAAATTGATGGAGTCTTTAAGTTTTGAATTTGAGTTTAAAGGGGTTTCGGGGGACTGGGTGCTACCCTGTTTTAAATCGAAAATTGGGTTCAAACGACACTCGACTTATCACGATTATGAGGTACGGTGCAAAACACGGTATTAGCGTTACCGAAAATACCTATTTGCCGAGCACGGTAACTCAGTTAATATCTAATTTTTATTTTTAAAGTTCGTGACACCCTCCCTAATTAATATAAACACCCCCCTATTAGAGGATTGAAGAAATAAAAAGTATTTACAAGAAAATTAATTATTCCATTAGTGGAGATCTCTAAAAAGCTCTTAAGATTAATTTAAATTAAAAACAAAAATTATCAAATAAATATACATAATGTTGCGTGTTCATTAATAATTCCAAAGAACATCATTAAAGCCCGCAACAAATTTAAAAATAAAAGAGAATGTTTATATTTATCAAAAACAATATTTCTATTTAAATAATAAATAAAGCCCCATTAAACTAATTTATTAAAAAAAAATATTTTTCTAAAAATAGTTCAAAATAAGAAAAAGTTGGTGGGGGAGGTGGACATACCGACCCCCACACCCTCAAATAAATAAATTATTTATTTAAATGAGTAATTTATTTTTTTCTTTTTTTTGTTTATTATCTCGTCATTTAAATAAATTTTTTATTAAAAAAATAATTATTTTTTTTATTTTTAAAATGTTGGAAATGATGTGAAAAATAGGGAGAAAACAATAAAAATTGAGTTTTTGCGGAGAATAAAAGAACAGATTTTTTGGAAAAAAAAAAGTTGGGGCTGGAGAGGTATTAAATAATAAGAAGGTTAATTACGAACATACATATATGTAATTTGTATTAAAAGAATGTAATGTTCTTGCCAGATAATAATTTTAAAAAATAAAAATAAATTTAAAAATAAATAGAAAAAATTTAATTTGCGGACAGTCCGCAAATTAATTAAATGGACATAACTTTAATAAAAATTAATCTAATTTTTGGGTCTAGAATTCGCAAAATGAAGAAAAAGGTAGGCTAATGGTTGATTTCGTGTTATTAAAAATGTATAATGTACGAGCAGATTTTTTGGGGGAAAAATAATAATTTGCGGACAGTCCGCAAATTAATTTAAAATGTATAGAATTCTGTTTATTATTTGTTCTTATATTCTGATCAAAAGCTTGAAAATTAAATAAAAATGAAGTAAAAATGATTAAATAAAAATTAAAGTTTACAAAAAATATATATAAAAAATATTGCGTGTCCGCAAATATCGTCCGCAAATTTTATTTTGCTGTCCGCAAGTTTTATTTTCTATCCGCAAATTTTTATTTTTTCCTTATTTCCTTTTATTCAAGCTTTACTTTAATTAAGTAAATAGCATGGAATTTTGTAAAACTAAAAAATGCAAATATTATAAAGTGGCAAATTAGTAGTAAATATATAATTTAGTATATAAATAAATGCCCATTAAAAGCCTTTCGTTTTTTCCCATGTCCATTTCTGGGTTATGCGGCATTTTTGTGTTGTGAAGGTGGTGCTAAATGTTTAGTAGTAATATGTTTATTTAAAGAAATATTTTGAGGTATTTAAAGTTCCAAAAAAATTTTTTTAATGAAAGGAGAGGCGAATAAAAGAAGGTATAAACTAGGGTAGCACCCTGAGCCTTCGGAGGCGGGATCGTCGGGGATCGGGTTGGAGGTTTCGGGGGACGGGTTCCTACCCTAATAGAAACATATATTTTTGGATGTCCTTCTGGAACATCGTATTTTATTTTTTAATTCTTAAGTCAAATAATAATCTTTTGAAGAAAATATTTGCTCGATATGTGTGGCAGATTGTAACAGCCGAAAACTAAATCGGACACCCACAACTCTTTGCTTGCCCTGGTGTGGGACACGCCCAATTAGGCGCAATAACGGCGCAAAGCCATAACTAGCTGGAAAATTTCTGGCCCTTATTAATTTTGGTACCAATTTCCTTAGCTCGATGAGAGGAATCGTTTAATACTGAATTTGTTAAGATTCGAAAATCTTGAAGCAAGTTATGGCTTTGCGCCGTTATGGCCAGCGCGCTTGGCTGTACCTTCTAGTGTAATTAACATTTATTTAAAATTTTCCTAAAAAATGTTAAGGAGGGAAACGAGTCATTTAATAGGTATACGATTTTGTTCTTCCGGTAGATTAGAAAAAACAGAAATAAAAATAGTTTTTGCAAAATAAAAAATAAATATTATGTAATTTTTATATGTTTATTAAAAATAGAACCGAGAGGTATTTATTTAGTAAGTTCCAAAAAAAGAAGAAAAATATTTTTATAGAAAGGAAAGGTGAATGAAGGGTGGAAAAATATTTTTTTAATTCCAGAACCAAATTTTGATTTTCTAAAATTAGCTAAGAATAGTTTGTTAAATGTGGCAGATTATAATGTAATAGTAAAAATAGATATAAAAATGAATTAGGAAGGAATTTCTGTCCAACAACCTCAAACTGACTCGTCTTTAATGCTTCTCTTGAGAAACATTTCATAAATTTTTCTTAAAATTTTAGATAATTAATATACACAATTACCGTAAATTCTCTAATAGAAGCACATGTGCTTGTATTTTTCGATCCTCCCGTAGGGTGTGCTTCTATTAGAGGGTGTGCTTCTATTAGAGGGTGTGCTTCTATTAGAGGGTGTGCTTCTATTAGAGGGTGTGCTTCTATTAGAGGGTGTGCTTCTATTAGAGAATTTACTGTATATTATGTCAGAAGCTACAGTATGGTTTAAAGTCTGCCTGAACTTACGGAACCTTTTCGGTTCCTGCCAAAATTTCGATTATAGCATCAATTAATTGACCATATATCCTACACAATATCACAAAGTATATTTTTTTAATTTCTCAAACACCCAGTTATCATTTAAAAAAATTGAAAAATAAAAATATTTTTTTTGCAAAATAAAAATGTCAAAAGTAATATTATGTAAAATTAAATAAAAGCAAAAAAATAAAAATAAATGCCTTTTTTTAATATTTTCTAAGG